AAAGAGCTTGTACAATTTTGAAGTATATATGTGTGTGTGTGTATGCACTAGAAATGGCTATAGATTGTTCTGAAATAACAAGAATAAGAAATGGCTGAACTATTCTCAGCAGGCATAACTTTGCTTTAAGTGTGTTATAGAACTTTGCTTACAAAAAACCTCATGTAAAACATGTTTTACATTAAAAGTTAACACTTCTATAATATTTGGAAGACTACCTACTTTCAAAAGGAAAGGGCGTGTAATCCTAGCTGATGGAAGCTACCAGGGAATCTATATGGGAATGAGATTTAATTGTTAGAGTTTGGTTTTCATTTGGATAGTGCATTTGAAAATAAAATAGGAAAGATAGGATTTTGAAAAGGAGAATGAATTACTAACCTTCTTGACTTGTGAGTTTTGCTGCTGACTTGCTCTGAGGTTGAGTAAAAAGAATGTGAAACTGTGTCTGAAGTGACAAGTATGTTTCCCTGAATGGGACCGTTTTATCAAATAAGTTCTCTCCTTCATAAAGTTATAAAATATTAGAGTAAGAGTTGCATCTGAAATATAGCAACACAGTTTTGTGAAAAGTGGAAGGGGGAAACGAATGTTTTACTTTTTTGGGGAAGGAACAAATTTACCTGTAATACTAGTGAGACATATACTTAAAATACAAGAAGCTTAAATGGGAATAGGAACTCACACAGGAAGAGGCTCACTAACCATCAAAGCTCAAAGGAGAGAAGTCACTTGACAGTAGACAGAGGACCTTTATCTGTGAGCTATGAGTAACCATAATCTCTGAGAGTGAATTCTAATCTGTGTAGGGCTGACATGTCAAATAAACACTGAATTTGTTCAGTTTATATATATATAATGTACTTTATAAGGCTTCTGAGATATCTGATCATAATATCTGTCTGCTTTAATTTTGTTGTGAGAATATCCCTCTGAATCATTAGAAAACATATTCCTTTATTCTCCTCTACGGTCCATCAATGAAATTTTTAGAACTTGTATATAAGTTTTTATGTTTTCAAAATAAAACTGATTAACAGGGTTGCAAGAGAAATCAAATGTGGTTCTAATATGTAGATTACACATGCAATTATTTGAGATGCCTTATAAACATAAGACCAAACATAATTTATTGAAAATCTATCAAAGCTAAAAAAGGTGAATCCAATTGAAAAGCAATGCTGTAAAATCTACATAAAATTTAAAAAATATGGCTAAATGTAGTACCACTGGTTTATAAGGTTGATTTACTTATTTTATGTTTACTGTTTTTTTAGATGTGTCCAAGTTTCAATATGTCTGCTCCCTATGTGAAGAATAAGAAAGGACATATTTTGTATAATCTTTCAGGGTTCCTTGTGGAAGAATATTTAGTGAGGCCATCCAACAAAGCAAGGTGACCTTAAAATATCTAACCTTTGTTTATCCTTTGTGTATGAAAAGCACAGTCCTTCCTGATACAAAAACAGACTTGCATCACTGAGAATATAAGGGGTACTTGTCTTTATGTGTTGGTTGTTATCAAGGTGCAGCCTAAAATAACGTGGAACCCTCTTCATGATCACTTCTCAGAGCTTCCTCCAACAGTTGCATGATAATGGTCTCTAGACATACCCTGGCTTTTCTTGCTACACAGTGAGTTATTTCAGCATCTCAGAGAAAGAAAATACATATGCATAAGCAAATCATATTAACAAGTTTATTTTCCTCAGAGACTCAATCAAATAGAGGTAGATATGAACCAATTAACCTTTTCCTTGAACTGAAAGGGCTGGTGAAAGACTTCATATTCTATGATACCAGCCTCGGAAGTTATAATCTGATGTATTTTGAGGTTTACTTACATGCTTCTACAGCTCAACCACTGTCTTTGACATAAATACAAACAGTAGACCAAGTATTATTTTATCAAGGAGGATAAAGTGTTAGCCATTTATTTATTAAAATAAGTGTATCTGAATTAATGAAAATAAAGGTAAACACCTTAAGATTAAAGATTTGAGCTAGACTATGAACGGACTATGAAGAAATCAAGCTGTTTATGATGTTTCTGAAAGTCAGTAATAGCTCACTTGTTCACAAACTCTCCAGTTGCTCAGGGATTTCAGCTTTCAGAGAGTGAAAATCCTTGAAAATCCTTATCTGAGGGGAATTCCTTTGCCAGAAAAGATCAATAATGTTCACCTGATTCAGGAGTATATTGAACTCCTCCTTTTTAGCAGAGAAGGTTTTTGGGAGGGTTAAAGTTTTACTTTCAGTTGAAAAATGAAGCATCAATGTAGATGTCACCACTTTAGCATTTCAAGAAAAGACTGCTAAGTTTAAGGCAGGTAACCTGTTATTACTTTATTTTCTATTACCAGATATGGTGGTTGGTCTTTTGGAGGGGGGAAAGCATTTGAACTTCAAAATAAAAAAATTAATAACACCAAATCTAAGCCTCTGGCTAAGGTAAGAGTTGCATGTGTGTGTATGCATTTGTATGTATGTGTTGCTTAATTATTTAGGCTCCAGACTTCACAGCACTTAGCAAATAATAAATCATTACATAAAATCCTTGGATTCAGAAACTGGGAGAAAAACTCTCTGTCTACTATAGTTCACTTCTCTGATCATAATTCATGAAATATTCTCCTATGTTCTGAGAAGTATTTTTAAATGAGTCAAATGATAAGACTTTTGTTGTTTTTTCCTGTGAACTCATTTCAGAGTCTAACTGAGCTTACCTTTAAAACTTTTTTTTAGGTAGTCAGCCCAGATATTCCTTTATTTTTTTTTGTTTTCTACAAAAGTAAATGTCAAATTTTCAAAAGTTCATTAATCATCTCAAAAAGGGAGTTACAGAAAGATAGTTATTATTGACGCCTTTATTCATTTCTGCAAGGAATACTTTTCCTTATTACATTTCTTTCTTTCTTCTTTCTCCCTTTAAAAAAACACAAGTATTTAGCTTCTAAGAGTAGCTACTTCTGCATAACAAATATGCTACACTGTGTTTATAATCCCCTTTTCAAATATGAGTAACTTTCCATTTTTATATCAGAGAAACAGAAGTGTGCATTGCTGAAAGTAGGTTGTGAAATCTGAATGTCTTTTCTACAGTAGATCGCACTGTCTGGCAATGTCTAGACTTTCTGTATAGAGCTACCTCTGAAATCAAGAAAGGAGGATTATTCTAATCACAACTGAAATAAAGAGCTTTTCCTTGAGGCCTTTCGGTATGCACTGGAAGGTTACAGTATCTCAATACTCTGAAAAGTTGGGATGGAACATAGTGGGTATCAGGCAATTATCTGTGCAAGGGATTTTATTTTCCTTGGGAATGTTTTGAAAGGTTCTTTAGTAATCTATTCAAATGAAGACCAGTAATGAGCAGAGGAACAGCAGTCTTGGAAGAGTATTGAAGCATATCAGCGTGTGGTCTCTTTTTTTTTTTATTCAAGACAAAATAGACTTGTTAAGAGGAAGCCTTGGACTTTCCAGATTCCACATTAAGATATAAAAGAAACAGTCTTCTGCCTTTAAATTGTTTTAAGATTTTATTTGCTCTTATAAAATAAATAGAGAAGGAACAGTGTAAATGAGCTATACACCAAAGTCCATTTTGGGACAAAGTGTTAAAACAGCATACAGATGTTCCAATTATATGATCCAATATAATTTCACGTTTAGTTATGCAAAATCACTACCTGTTTGCAATGCCTTTTTATTGTAGTTCAGTAAAAAATCTCTATCTTACATACACACCCTACCTTATATATATTTTCATTTTGGTTATATGTAGCCTCCCTTCTACCCTCAGATTTCTTAAAGCTTTTAACTCCAGTTCCATCAAGCCTTCATTAGGAACTTTAAGTCCTAGAGAACTGCAATAACGTGTGTTTTTCTGACTGTAGTTTTTTTCTTATGTATCTTTAATCATTTTAGACTCTTGTTTTGACATGCCTGCGCTGTGGCTTTTGTCAGGGTCTTCTTTTTTCAAATGTCTGGCATAGAGCTCCACCTGCCATCAGCACAGGGATAATTATTGTTACACAGTTAGTGAGTAGGCTTCATATTTCAGATCCAAAGAAAATAGTGGAGTAGACTTATAAAGGGCACTGTGTTATCTAAAATACCTGCTGGAAGTGGTTTTCAACTGATGCAATGTCAAATTATTGCATTAACCTTTCAGTAATTAATGACCATACTTTTACTTTGACCTTTTGGGCTTGTTCATGAGACAGTAAATGTACCATTTACATAGTCTTGTATGAAAGAAAATGAGAAATTTGCATTTGAAGAGCCTTACTGTATGAGTCATTTAATACGTTATTCTCCTCCACTCAAAAAGCCAACAATTTTTCCAGTTCAAATTAAGAATACCTATTCAATGCATATTTTACTTTACCTAATCATACCATGCTATTTATACTGCATACATGGTATTCCATACAGACACAGAGCATGTAAATGTGTGCATGCATGAGAGAGACTATATCTACCACGTGACAAATGTGGCTGATAAACAAACATTGATTATTGACATTCATTGACGATCACTGCTACATGGCAAAAGCACAACTCCTCAAATGTGTTGTGTTTTCATGAATGTACATAGTTTGGTTTCTTTTGATAATGTAGACAAAAAATGTTTCATAATGATTTCATAGTTGCTGTGATTTGTAGAGTAATTAAATCTAGGAAGAACATGTAATTTTAAGAACTCCTGAAAGGTAATTTGTACTGCTTACACGACATTCTGAAGTGTGCATTTTTCCAATCTCAAAGGTTGGAATTTGAGGCTTTACTGTACAGTAATAGTATAAGTGTCCGAAGGAAGTTACATCTCTCCAGTCTAATACCCCTTCTCTCTGACTCCTTATTGTGAATTTTATCCAGCAGTGCTTAGGGGTTTCTCTGTCCCTCCTCACCTTTTTTTCTTAATAGGCCATAGGTTAGTGAAAATGTCAGTTTAGCGTTATTCTGGAATAATAACGACAGGTGAAAATGGTATGGAATAATGGAAAACACATCTTTACAGAACATAAATCTAATATAGTGAGGGGCTGTGTTTTTTTCCTTGGGAAGGAATTTTATCAGTCATGGGTAGAAGAGAAAATAATGAAAATAGAAATTAAAAATCTTATCTATTTTTCCATTGCTCATCTCTTTTCTGACCTCTGTAAATAATTACCTGTGTGGCACACAAGAAATAGGAAATATATTTCAGCTGGAACAAATATTTTCACCTTTGCAATCAATTTAGAATAAGCCACAAAACTTTAGAAAACAGAGCTTAAATGTACGTTCTGATGAAGTGAACAACCTCAAATGCCTTTTTTGCCAGATTATAAACAATTAAATATGCAGTTTCAATTTGCTTATTTCCTGGTGGTTTGATTCAGTTACATAATCTATCTTGAAGGAAGAATTCTCATGAATGTGCAGGGTATTGAATTGTATGGCTACACACAATGCCTCATTGTGGTTTTTATATTTTCATTTAAATATTGGCCACATTATCATATTTCTAAGGTGTTCTGTGAACACTTGAGACCTTTTCCCTGCTTCAGTTAAATGAGGATGTGTCATCAGAATTTTGCTTTATTGTTTTCTTGTTTTTTGTTGGTTTTTTTTTAATACAATGAACACAATTGCAGTGAAGTTTCATTATGTATGTGTAAGTTTCTGTTCAGCACAAGTTTTTTATTTTTTTTTAAAGAGAATAAGAAATAGGTGTGGTAGTGGTGTGAAAAAGACTGGCTACTCCTGATCACTTGTTTATGTTTCTTTGCTCTGGTTGCATTTTGCACAGGAGATCCAGCAGTGCAAAGATTTGCAGTTTTCCTTAGGACACTTGGGTTCTATTTAACTTAATTTCTTTAAAGAACTCTCCTGTTGATTAAAGAATGGGAGATCTAGTTTGTGTGGCATTTTGTGGGAATTGAACTGGAGGAGAACAGAGGAGCTGAATATGAGTTTCCAAAGAGGGAAATGGTTTGGATTTTTTTTTTCATTAAATGAGGGGACATAAGGTGATGTTGAGATTTCAAGCAGTTGTGAAGACCACATAAAGAAGAGTAGAAAGTACGAAAGATAATGCAAGCAAGAGCAGCACTAGACCAAAGCTTCTTGTGTTTTGAATAATGATTAAGATAGATCTTACTGAAAGAAGATTCATAGGTGAGAGGCATAGGAGAAATGACAGTGGAGCTCAGAGTGGTATTTGATAGGATAGGTAGGAGGAAATTGAATGAACAGTTAGAGTGTTGTAAAACATGCTTCACAACAGAGTGCAATGTAGCGATCCAAACAAATAAGTAGTTATGAAAATAAATGAAAATAAAATAATTACTAAGAGAGAAACAGAACTGAAGATTAGACAACCTGTACTGGGAAACATTCAGAAGAATGCAGCAGGAAAAACAGTCAAAATATGGAACTTGTGTCCAAGTGAGGATTGTATCTGGATAGTACAAGAAAGAAAAAACAAACCAACCAACCAGGATTATCTGCAAGTAAATGAAAAAATTATAACTGGAAGTTTGCAGCAGTATCAAGAAGAGGCACATATATATTTAAGAGCACTAGATGAGAACAGCTTTGGAGTATTGAGAAAAGAATATTTAGGGAAGTTTCCAAGATGTAACTGTATAGATCGTAGTTTTAGAAAGTATCTAAGAAAAGTGAAATCCTAGAAGGCTGCTAAGGCAAAAAAAAAACTATATTAAAAACTGTGCACTTTGCAGTATGATTCAGAATCCAGACACAAAGGGATAATTGCCCAGCATCAACCTGAGATGTACAAGATGCAGATGAGCAAGTAGCTGATATCAAATAAGGAAAAGTTAAGAGTTTTTCAAGTGTATAAAGAAAAAAGGGGAATTGAAAGGTTGCTGTGAAGTGAGGAGTGGATAGTAATCAAAGATGATTTTAAACATGTCACTAAAACTAAAAACAAATGTATGTAATAATTTGACATAGTTTTCAGTATGGCTGATGTAGGTTCAAAGGCAATATGTTTTAAGAGTAATGAGGCATGGGATTAATTTCCAAAGGCAAAACAAAACTCAAACCTCAGTGTATTTGATTTTGGGATATATCAGCCTCTCGGCAATGATTCTAGCACATGAAAGTGTGAATATTGTGTGTATTTATCAAGTTAGTGATTCTGCATGATTTGAGGATAAAGTATATGTTACTGCAGAATCGCTCCCCTGTGCTCCTCAGGGAAGACTGGCTTGCCTTCTCTGCCTTGAAGTTTGCTTGTATTAATTTTCTCCATGCTTAACAAACTACTGATAATTGCTTTTTGAAGGTGGAGACACAGCTTTGTCCTTTATGGAATAATTTCATACTCATCTTGTAAGCAGTACCTCCTTGCTTCTTTTTTTCCACCACTTTCTAGGGTACTCTGTTCCTAGACATTTTATGCCATATGTCACTTGCAGGTATTATTTAGAAAAGTTTTTTGAAATTTCAGTAATGTTCTCCACTTGTAACACTAGTTTTACTCATTTTTTGTATTTTCCATTAAATTGGCAGATGTTATTTTTGCATTGGTTGTCCTCTATTTGTTTGAGCAAATGTGTGTAAAGGAAAGGACAGTGTTTCATTAAATTAGAGAATCTCAATTTAGTAATTAACAGTACAGCTCCACCAGTAGAAAACAAGAAAGACCTCTACAGATTAGCTGATTTTGTTCTGCCTAGTTCATCTTCTTCTGTAAATAGGTGTTGTAACAGGAGAATTAGATATCTTTATGCAATTCTTCAGGGCATGGGAGTTTTCAGATCAGCATTCAGGTTCAACTCATTTTTGATTGACAATTTCCATTCTCTCTTCCAGGTGTGGTACAACCAAAAGGGTTTCCATTCGCTGCCATCCTACTTAAATGAACTCAATAACTTAATTTTGTGGCTGAATTTGCCTCCTAATGTGGATTGGAGACAGTATGGTAATAGTCATTCTTTAAGTCTCTTTTTTCATATCTTTTGAAAAGTAGTTTTTAAATAAAGTAAAACAATTTTAAGTATGAAAAATTTTAGTAGTATAAAGTAGGATTGCAGAGTCACACATTTCCTGGGCAGATTAAATTTGAATTTAGAGCTCTCTATGCTATATGAGTTTCTTACAAAGAACGTTCCTCTGCAATAACTGTAAATTTGTTCACTATACTTGGGATGTTAGTCCCAGTGAAACCACTGCTAGGGCTTTCTTAAGTGGGATTATTAATGCACAATAGAGTATGAATTTATAACTTTGTCTCTTTATCTCCTTATGTAAACATTGAGGGGAAACCCAGATTATCATGTGAATTCACATTGCAATGTGATGTACCAAAGTATCCTGTTACTCAGCGAACAAGACAGGCTGGTATATCTTACTATTACTATATTTGACAACTGAATTATCTGATTAAGGTATACCTAACCTGTGTAAGAACAAGTTAAAATAAACTTTTTACAAATTAACTTTATAAAAAAGTGACCGCAGCTAAAGAATCAGCTGTTAACACTGGTGAACTTTTAAGATGTTGAAATCTAGTTTAAAATCTGGGCTTGATAGTTCAGGGTAACTTCTCTTTTTTCTAGTTCCTATCATTCTTAGGATTCTGTTAAAGAGAAATTAGTTTAGTTTAAAGTAATCTAAAATAGCTTATGAGCAATTTTTAAGAGTTTTTTGAAAAGGTAGGATGGTTGTCTGTAGTGGTAAAATGATTTTTAGTGTGCTTATAATGAAGAAGGAAGAAAGGAAATGAAAATCAGTGAAAAGAGGGAGGGAATCCTGACTGAAAATAGAAATTAATTAAGAAAAGTTTGTAGATTGTCAATGAAAAAAAGAATAATTGCTTGCTTTTGAGATGACTGGGTTTTTATTTTTCTAAATAAATTATGAGAACAAATAAAAGATAATGTATTTCTGCAGAAAGTTTGAATTAATTAAAATCAGGTATTTTAATGAGAATTATTAATAGAAATCAATTTTTAATCAAGTTTCACTGCACTTCATGGATAGTACTGATGCTAGTTTGTTTTCTGTAGTATTAGATATTCAATTCTGGAACTTAAATGTTTTAGCACCCTTACTTTTATATCTGTCATGGAGAACTGGGGATTTACCACCCAGATTACAGTCACAGAAAATTATTGCTGTCCCAAGAATTGTGGAAATGTTGTATTTTATGTTGTTGTATGACATATAAAAACAATAAGCAAACAGTGCTTAGTAAATATTTGAAGTCTTGGACTGTTGTCTATACAAATGTGGCTTCATTATATAACATTCTGGCAGAATATTTTGGCTAAGCCTCTGCAGAAGAAGAGTTTATGGACTAGAAAGCAGTTTGTTTATGTGTATATCTATTGCAGAGGTGCAAAAAAGATGAATTAATCCTGCTATTGTGATATAATGCAGAGGGACATGACAGAGAAATCCTAGAATGAGAAGTCGCATTATCTACCTATCTGTGTGTATGTATATGAGTGTATACACATATATGTATATACATGTAGAGACATACATACGTATATTTTATTTTAAAAAAAGTACTCAACAGTTTTCCAGTGCTGTATGGAGCCCTTAATCTCGGTTCACTTTGTCTTTTAGCTATCTCTTATTTAAAGATAGTGCTCTGATGTACAAGAACTATTTATAGGCTTTTCTTATTAAAATGGTTATATGCAACCTTGTAAATTGCCAGTCAGAAGACTATGTACTGTGTTTCAAAACTGAAATGTATATATTTTTATTTTTTTCCTCTTGCAAAATCTGTTTATACCCAAGATCAGTTCTAGAATATTATTGGAAAATGCTGTGAGGAAGCTTGTTAAGATGTTGCAGAAATGCAGTTTTGTAGTTCTGACTTGCATTAGTTCAGTGGCTTTTTTTTCCCAGGATAGCATTTTCATGTCAGCCAAACCAGTGCTTCTGTATTACTTTTAAGTGACATAAAAATAATTTGACCCTTGAAAAGGGAGTGTGAGGACACAATCATTCCTTCCTTCACAAAAAATAAATCTTGCTTTACTACAAGAGACTTACTTCAAAAGGGTAAAGCATTCCCATGGATGTAAACAGAGTAGTAACTACTGTGATACTGGAAAAACCTTGAAAGAGGTCAACAGCTTATTTAAATACCTCAGTATGAATACTGAGGAACCCTTTCAATTAGCAGTTATATCCTGTGGGTATTTCTTGAGCATAAACCCAGTTGGAGTTCTCCCAAGTTCTCTGGGGAAGGGAAGAGTCATTACAGAGTGCCTGGTTCTACCTGCTTTGCTCGCAGGGACAGACCTAGTTATTTTCATAGATCAATACTGCTGGTCACAGCTTGTGATAGATTTTAGGGATAAGGAGCTGAGAAGGAGGTTAAATGTATCTGTCCTATGTCTTTTCTTCAGTCAAGAGGATACAGGGAATATAGACTTAGGATTCTGTACGAGAGCTTGAAGGAACATGTTGTACCCAAGAATACAGAAGACATATACACCTTGCATTGATTTCTATCCAGAGGGATTTGCACCTGTTCAAAAAACTGAAAAAATTGAAGATTGTTTTTCTTGTATCAGTCCAAGTTACTGATTCTTGATCATCCTGAGCATGGAGGAGCAGGAAATGATGTTAGTTCGATGATAAAAAATACTTCCTTTTTATTATTATGTAATCTGACCTTCAAATCCTTTCTTTACAAGTGGAGAGGTTTCTCTTTTTTCCCCTCATATGGGATTATCAGTAAGCTTCTCAGTGAGAATGCTTGGAAAGTTACAATGTTTGCTTCTTGTAATTTTCATGTAGAGTGGTATGGTTGTTGAAGAAAATGTGTGTGCCAGCTGGAGGTGCCAGATTGATTTACATCAGTTTATCATAGCTAATTGATCAGATGTCTGTTTTGGAACAGCAGTTCAGGAATACTTATATGAAAATAGCTCATCCTCTGTACCGTGTGGATAGGCACCACTAGTTTCGTAGTCATGTAAACCTGTGTTTCTATTGTGGAAAAAAAAAATCTAACTCAACTGTGTTGCTGTAAAGGAAACCAAATATATTTTGTTTTCTAGTGGGTTATAAATTCACTGACAGATAATGAAAATGGATGTGTTAAACAATAAAAAGGAAAGTGAGAAAGACTATTTAACAAAGAAGGTGATATATACCGGAATTTTGTCAAAACTCATCATGTCTAGCTGGTCCTCAAGGTTATGTGAATGACGTTTGTATGTTTTAAAGCTTTTTCTGAAATGCTGCATTCCTATAATTAGATAATGTAATTGTGAGCAAATTAAAAAAGGGAATAATGAAGTAAGAGGAATAAGAAACTAAAAGGCAATTTTTTTTTCTTAAGCTTAAGATAGAAATTCCGATCAAGTAGAACTGTGTTGTTTTCATACCTAACTCTATACAGTTGATTCAGAATGTGTTTATCATGCTGGAGCATAGGGGAAGTACTATTACCTAGCTCTCTGTGTAAGTCTGTATAAAGAAAAAAAGGACTGGTAGTTATCTATAATGATGTCTGTAAAGTACAGTGGTCAAAAGAAGTTCCTGCATCATTACTCAAAGAACAGTAAGTAAGAAATATATTCACCTTGTGCAATGCAGCTGCCCCATCTCAGGACTTCTATTGAATTAAATGATTTTTTTTAAAAAAACCTTTCATGCTATGAGTCATTGTAAGCGTTCATACAGCATCCTCCTTTATTTCAGATTCAGTTCTTCAAAAAAGCTGAAGGGATCAGGAGTCCTATTTTCAGCTGGGTTTTTGTGGAAAGTGACTGTGTAGTTTCCCTGTTGCTTTGCAGATTGTAACTTTAAACCTCTTTTCAAAGGAACCAGTGAAATGGCATTTAGTAGAAACCTTCTTAATCATGTATGATTAGTAGGAGGAAGAGTAAAATATAAATGATTAATGAAGGTGCTGCCTATGAAATTGTCCATAAAATATAAATTGTAATTTTGAGTAAACAATAATGTCTCATTTTATACAAACAGAAATCTCATTATAAATTTTGAATGCCCACAAACAAGAACTTGTAAAAAGTGTATATAAAAATATATTTTTATATAGTGTAAAAATGGAGATAGCATATATAGTGTATATGTGTACTATATAGTGTACTATATAGTGTAAATATATGCTATCTCCATTTTTGTTTATATATACTATTTTATTCTAATCTGAAATAAAATGTCTGGAATAAAGAAATCCAGATTGGTCTTCTATTCAAGTCTGTAACAGTTATGATATTTAAAAATAGTAGCATAGATCCAAACTGATCTACGTACTCAAGAATTAGCATGATACACGACAGAAAGAAGTAGTTTACAAATGGGTGCCAAGAGACATGGAGCAGTTGGACCAGAGGAAGGCAGAAAGATGATCAAAGGGGTGGAACACCTCCCCTATGAGGACTGACTGAGAGAGTTGGAGCTGTTCAGCCTGGAGAAGAGAAGGCTCTGGGAGGACGTTATTGTGACCTTCCAGTTCCTGAAGGGGTCCTAAGGAAAGCTGGGGAGGGACTTTTTACAAGGGCAGGTAGCGATAGAACAAGAGGGAATGGTTTCAAACTGGAAGAGGGTAGGAAGAAATTCTTTACTGTGAGGGTGGTGAGACACTGGGACAGGTTGCCCAGGGAAGCTGTGGATACCCCTTCCCAGAAAGTGTTCAAGGCCAGGTTGGACAGGGCTTTGAGCAACCTGGTCTGGTGGGAGGTGTCCCTGCCCATGGCAGGGGGGTTGGACTGGATGATCTTTAAGGTCCCTTCCAACCTAAACCATTCTATGATTCTATGATACTGCCTGTCTTGTTTTTCCCTTGTGAATAATGATTTGGTAGAATTTGCCCTGAGGACTGCTCACGCAAGGTTGCAAATACAATCCTTAAAAAAAATCCTTGCACAAATACCACATACATCTGTTTAATAGGAGATTTGTCATTTAGAACTTCTTGGTTTACCTGTCTTCTATGATTTTTATTTTAAGTCTTCAAAGATGGTGTTTAGTTTTCAACTTAGTGAGCATCATTATAGAAACTTTACATAGTAAGAAGGCATATAAAGGCAAGAAAGCATCAATAAGTACATTTTACATCATGCTAACAGCTGTATTGGGACAAAGATATATGTAAAGAAAGATGGTCTAAGTGGTTAGGAGAAATATAGGAAGGGATAGATTATAAAAGTACATGGAAGGGGGTTTTTTATTAAACAAATGTACACAGTAGCAAATAACATATATCAAATGCATGGTTTATTTTACTGTTGGAAGATATAATTTACTCCTCCTTAGGTTCAAGAGAACTTTTTTCCTCTGAATTACAAGCCAGTTTTTTGCTTTATATAAATTCATCATACATTTTTGGATGATGTGGGCAGGGAAGAAATTCTACTGGAAAATGTATTAAATGCAGAAGACCTTCATGCTACTTGAAAAATTTAAAATAATGAATGAAAGAGAAGTATTATACATTGATAGAATTTTGAATTCTAACATAGAACTGAACTTTGCTTAACATGGTCATATTTTGGTTAATTTAATTAAGAAATTTAATCTGGTGTGTGTGTGTAAATTTTTAAAAATGCAATATTTTCCTTCATCTACATGGTTTGAATCAAAAATAACTATAGAAAATCGTTACTACCTTTAAGAGACCAATTACTTTTTGGGACTTCTCCGTTGAAGTAAATTAATCCAGTGCAATTTGCTTTTCGATCAGCCTTGTATGATACAAGACTTCAAGAAACATTATGCTACTTAACGTCATAGGTTTTTATTTCCCCTAGCCATTATCATTTTTCAGTCTCTGCATATTCTATACTTGAGAGTTACAGCAGTGAATTTCTATATATGAAACCAAATTCATCTGCTGTAGACTTTTGTTTAATAACAATGCAGTAATCTGAAAGTTTTGTTAGTTTACTCTGTGCACTTAGTAGGAACAGGCCATGATGATTTCAGGAGAGAGATTATTTACAGAGACATTAAATTTTCTTGAGCAAAAGTTATTCCTTGTAAAATATTTGATGTAATTTTTGTCTTTGTTATATTTTTCATGTTTTATTAATTCCCTGTAGGTCTTTTTGCAAAGTTTCAGCAGTGCATATCATCTTCTATAAAATTCATTGACTAGTTTCTCAAAATGTACAAGTGGGCAAGCCTATGTTTATGAGCACAAACTGATTTGCACAGGAAATTGCACAAGCATGAACTCATAGCTTTAATTTGCCAGTGCATATTCTTCTCACTGAATGTAGCAGGTAGTTGATAGCAGTAGAGCAAAGGGATACGATTCAGATCAGCCTGGATTAATTCATGGAATATAGTGGAGAACCTTCCTGAATTCCTGGCAAGCTGCCTCAGTTCTGGATGTTTTATGGACAATAATTGTCTAACACAGTCTATGTGACAAGTTTACCTGTCTCACAGTTCTGGGAAAAGACCTATAGGTCTCCAAACTTCAGTATTTCCTGATCTTGGGCAGTATTTTTGAATTTGCAGTCACTGAAAATGCTACCCTTTGAGCTGGAGCAATTTTACTGTAGGATTTCTGTCATTTGAAGCTAGGGGAAGGACAGCTTGGTTAGAGCATTCAAATTCCTGATCATGAAGGCAAGACCTTGACAATCATGGGAAGATCCTCTACAGCTTGGCTCATGGCCATAAAAGAGGAGGCCTAAAAGATGTATTTCTGCTCTTTGCCAATTTAGCTGAGCACTAGTGAGTACAACAAACACATTTCATATGTTAACTTCTTGTTTTAGTGCTTCTGAAATTATCAAGATTCCCATTTTCCAAAAGCTTTCCTCCATTGTAATTAGATTAAGTCTGGGAACCTGATTTTTAAATTTTTTATAAAAAAAAATAAAAATCTGTTCTAATTCTATTTTTGGCTACTAATTTCTAATTTAACAGGAATCCTATGCATATATATATATCAACTAAAGATATTATTTTTTCTAATATGCATGGATTCATTCAACTATTTAAAACGTTTAGAAAAAATATATTGGAATGCAGCCTTTTTCTATCGTGCCACTTTTCCTTTACATAAATGGAATTTTGGCTAATACTTGGTTCCACTGGGAAAAACCTAGTTTTCTTTGATATGCCAATCTTTGCTTCAGAACAAATAGCAGCTATTGTTTAAAAAAAAAAAAGTAAAAATAAAACAAAGGAAATTTTAAACAGTCCCTCTAGGCAAATGACATGAAAGACTTCTGCAAATAGTGCATGTATGCAATAGTGATGAATCAAAACCTTATCAGCTTGAATCTTTTGATTAGTTAACTACTGTTTGGCTTCAGTGTACAGCTTTTAACTTTATTTGAAAAATCTTTACCTTGTACTTATTTTGTGTTCAAGATAATCATCACCCTCTATTGTTCAGCTTTTTACCTCACAGTCACTTGGTGATGTTTAGATTACTTTGGCTTGAAGATGAGGAATGAAAAATTAAAGGGGCAAAAATAAATGTATAGATATACTTGGTCAGCTTGCACCTGTTAAAGGGACAAAGACTACTTCTGTCTTCATGCAGCTGGACTCTAACAAAATAAGTCAGAGTGCATTCAATTAATTGACAGAGTCCATGTAAGGCTACCAACAATTTATTTCTTTGCCAAATATACTGGAAGGATGATAATTACTGCTAGGATGGATATTTTTTTTCTAATCACCAACAACATAGATTTATTTTAGATACTCTAATCAAATAGTGCTGGTTTGATCTCACTGCAAGAATTTCCAATTTGTATTATGTTACAGGTGGTGCTTGTCAGATACATATGCAGAAATAAGTCAGGAACAGCAGCAAGGCCAGTTGGACAGCAACTTTTGCACTCACAAACTTTTGCACCACTTAACCCCCATTTTTCTTCTCTTAATGGAATGGAAAAAAAAGCAAAAAGCTGCAGTTTTTGTCCATAAACTACATTTGAATTCCAAAGTTCAGTTTACTAGATTGTCTACAGGCTGATTGTACCAAAACCCAAGATTGAGCTCAAGTATGCATTGCCTATTCATGATTTTTCTTGGACACCCAAACTGGGTATCTTTTTAATTTAAAGCTCTAAAATTTCAATCTGAGGTGTGCCTGTTTTGTGCGTTTAGCTAAACAGTTTTCCTCTGCAAAACATCAACAATCTAAAAATGTAGTAAGCAATGATAAAATACCAAGTATATAAATTTCAGTAACAACCTGCTTCAGAAGAGTAGGTATATGAACAAATTCCATTTTAGGTTTTGTATTTATCTCTTCTGTGATGCAGATTCTTCAGGAATATACAACATTGTTGAATACATTTCTGCAGTTCAGAATGCAGAAAAGCAGCTATTACTTATGTTTATGCATTAGATTTTGGTGGATCCAGAGTCTGGAAATCACTCAACAAGAGGCAGTATTTGGTTTGGAAGATTGATGGTTGATTGTCTCTTTCTGTTGCTTCTGAAATATATAGCTTTTTCATTCATCTTATGTAATGAGGGGTCAACAGTGTACTCTAGAACATTAAGTCCTGATGTAGCATTTACTGTTTCATAATTTATCTTTCTTTTCACAGGGATCACACTCTACAGCCAACCATATGGAGGAGTCTTGCTGGATGAGGACAAAATGTGAGCAAACTCTTAAAATATGTAACAGCTGCAATGAGCAGAAAATTGAAACTGTTAATTCAATAAACATACATGTTGCATGCAATGGATGTTGTGACTTGATAGATACAATTCAGTTCCACTGAGAGAAGCATTTTCTCTAGTCTGGTGTTTAAATGTCAAGTCTACTGTATACATCAGATATGGTTGCAATATTTTGTAGAATAAAATACTGAATTTATGCTGACTGTGCTTTAACGATTAACTGCTTTAAATGATTGTTGAGTTTTCAAATGTTATTTTTTCTGTAGAGAGGGAGGTATTTGCAAAAGCTTCACTTACTATTCAGATTTTAAACACATGCTGTGTTCTGTAACTCACGTGTAGTTTTGTAACTTAACACATCAGCTTGCTCCTGTTGTATAATTGGATGTTGACAGTGTAAAAATGTGGTGTCTGTGAACAGAATTAATGTCCTAATGTCCAATGTTGTTTTGGTAAGAAGTTGGCCTTGAAAATGTTTGAGTTGGGTGAGGTTTTTTTACCCAGTGTTTTCTTTATGACATTTTGCTTTATACCCTAGAATGGAGAATGTTCGTCAGTGTGGGGTGGCACTGTGTATCATGCTGGGTTTCTCTGTCCTTACTGCATCCATTGGAAGTGCCATAGTAAACGAGAGAGTATCTGGGACAAAACGCTTGCAGCACATCACAGGCCTGGGTTACAAAACATATTGGTTTGCTAACTTCTGCTGTGATATGGTATGTATCATGTGGGGCAGCATGTGTTCAGGTGTCAATTTTTAACTAGTTTGTCATAATGAGCAAAAGGGGATATGGTCACAAAACATGTGAATAAGATAAGAACTGTAGAGAGCAACAGCTCTTGGCTGTCATGTTAACAAGCATTGGGACTCCATTCCTACTTTATTATTGTCAGATAAAATTCTTTACGGCAGGGATTGTGTTCTTCACTTTCTGAAGTTGAATTGTAAGGTAAAGCATATACTAGCTTTAGGTAACTACACTATTTCACAAATAAAAGGAAGCTGTCTAATCAACCTAGACAGAGAGCATCATCCACATGGCAGTTCATAGCAACAGAACTTGTGCTTTGAGTTACCACTGGCAAAATCTTTCAGATTATTGGAGAAGCCTGAAGATTGTAGTCAGCTACTTTAGTAAGTTGTCTGCTGGTGGGCAATATCAGAGGTACTCATAACTGATACCTTTTATTTCTTGCAAGATAGACAGCAGAAAACATTATTTATGAATACAAATACACAGAATTACCTAGATCAGAAATGGGTGAAGTCTCTGTCCTGAATATTTGTTTTTCTTATACAAAATAATTTCTACTACTGTTAGCATTACAAATAATATCGTCTGCATGCAGTTCATTAACAAATTTGAAAATCTTATTTTCTTTTGAAAGTACCACGAAAGTTGTTATTGTTCCCTTTTAAT